TTGATGTGGTGTCAGAACAGTTCAGAAATCTCATTCAGCCAGTCCTTATTCACTCAATCAACAGCTCTCTGTGGGATTCCTGCATTCCAAGAGCTAGGTAGGGAGCAAGGCAGACAGAATCCATTTAATCATGGCGTCTGGTTTACTGGGGTGACTGACAACCAGAGGTTCACACTAATGAGGGCACAACTACAAACTAAGATAAGCATTGACAGGAAGAAACCCGATGTCACCAAAGAGACCTTCCTGTGACCGTATTTCCTCTTTCCCTTTCTTCAATTACCCTTTTCCCTGGGAAACCTGTAGGTATTTCAACATCTCAGTGAAACAGAGGGGACTAGAGAATCCCTAGTGGCCAGTATGGGCATAGCAATGACCCAAACTAGAACAAATCAAGTGGGGGCTGGGAGATGAAGGGAGCCAGTGGGGGAGATGCGGTGGCCAGGCGGGAGTGAGCCTCACCCAGGTCTTCCTTTAACTGTGCAGTGAACATGCTCTGGGAGATTCATGGCCAGTGGACAAGAACTTTAAAGCTTTTACCAATTTGAAGCTGCGGACCCCTCTAATTCACCCCTCTTCCCTACCAAAATCCATCTATTGTTTGGTCCATCCTGTGATGCCAGGAAGCAGGCTAAGTTTTGGCCAAGCTAGGGTTAAGCCACAAAGAGCAACCCTCCTCTATCCTGGCTATAATGGCAATGAAATCCTACCTAGCCTGGATAGCTCTCAAATCTGTCTCCATCTCTGGCCCCACTACCAGGGCTCCATCTCCTACCTCCCTGCAGTATACCAAATGCAGTCAGGCCCCTTCCAATTCACCTTCCACCTACACTGGTGCCAGAAGGATCCTTCTCAAATATCAATCAGACCAGGGTGAGACTTTCTTGGCGGTCCAGTGGCTAAGACTTCCACTCCCAATCAGGGGGCCCAAGTTCCAGCCCTGGTCAGGCAACTAGATCCTACACACAACTAAAGATCTCACTCAAGTGTTGCAACTAAAACCCAGTGCAGCCCAAATAAGTAAATGCTTTGTGCTATGCTAAGTCGCTTCAGTCATGTCTGACTCTGCAACCCCATGACTGTAGCCCATCAGGTTCCTCTGTCTATGGGGTTCTCCAGGCAAGAATACTGGAGTGGGTTGCTGTGCCCTCCTCCAGGGGATCTTCCCAACCCAGGGACCAAACCAGAGTCTCATGCCTCCTGCATTGGCAGGCAGGTTCTTTACCACTAGTGCCACCTGGGAAGCCAAATAAGTAAATAAATATTTTTTAAAATTACAGTGGAATATAATGAAAAGAAAAAAGACCAATACCAAAAAAGACCAATGGAATATAATGAAAAGAAAAAAGACCATTGCCTTCCCCCCTTTCTCCAGGGAGGCTCCTTGTGACCTGGCTCCCGGCTCCCACTTGGTATTCCAGTCCCACCTGCCTTTGGTCGAGCTTTGTTCAGACACTTGTGGCTGCCTCAATACCAGATGAAGCATCACCTCTCTGCCTGGAATTCCTTGTCTAGTCCTGTCTAGCTGGCTAACTCTGTCTGGTCACTGCCGAGCCAGCTCCCTCTGAGTGAATTAAGTGCCTCTTCTCAGAACTCCCTTCTCCCACTATTACCGCATTGTGCCATAGCTTTCTTTTCCCTCTCCCCTAGACCGGGACATCCTTGCAGCAGAAACTGTATCTGATTATACTGTGGTTCTCCCCCCCGACTCCCCACCCAACCCTGTGCCCAGATTGGGACCTGGGCCAACAATGAAGTCCCTCATGGTCCAGATGGTGGTTCACTGCCCATCTAACCACAGGCTCTGGCCTTAGATTATATACATTTATGTTCCCAAATGGATTCTGATTGTGTGACCAGATAGTTTTGGGGGTGTGTCTTCACTGCTACCCTTAGCTGGAAGTGCCCCCAAAGGAGGGCCCAGGAATCTCTTGGATAGAGGTCCTACTGGAAAGATGGTGTCTCACGGTGGGGCACGGCACTCCCCACTCCCTTCCATTCTGCCATGAGTCAGTTATTGAAGTGAACTGTCTCTGAGGTGCTCCCCTGGCCACTCCCTGCCTTATTCCAGCACTTCTCAGGTTCCCACCTCAGCCTTGGAGTTGGGGGTGGATAGGGGTATCTGTCACCTCCTAGGTCAGCAGGGCCAGAGGATCCAGTAAAGCAGGGGTGGGGAGCTCATTCATGGATACTGGGTTCCATTGGCACCCGTGAGCACCTATCAAAATCCTGGGAACTGAAGCTGCTGGGATGGTGTAAAGATGCAGAGAAGACAGCCAGTTTCATAACCTACTTTCTAGAACGGGAGGCAGAAACTCGGTCTGCCATGTGAGCAGGGTAACACTCAGAAGGTAGGGAAACAACATGCCCCTCTCCTCTCCACATTACAGGGTGAGTTTCTAGGCTGGAAGGTGACTTACCTGATTCAAGACATCTTCAATGAGTCTCTGCTTGCATTGTCCTGGTGACCCGGCAATCAGGACTTTAGACACTAGTGATCTGAGAAAGTTGACCCTCTTCCAGAACCAAGAGCAGTCTTTCCTAAGACTCTACCATGCAGGACCTCTTCTGTGTTGTATCATTTAAATTCAGATGCGGAAGCCCAGTGGCAGCCCAGGGCAACCTTGTTGTCAGGACAGTTTACATTCTCTCCACCCTTCCCGGGCTGTTCCTGAGAGAGTCAGGCACACACGCCCCAATCCCTTAGCTCTCCCCAGGGACTCATCAAGAACAAGACATTAAGGGGGGTAGCCAGTGCCAGAGTCTGTTTGACAGGGCCCACATATCCAAAGCTCAAGCAGAGCTGGGGGGTGAGGGTGAACTCCCTGAAGAGCCCCTTCTATCAACTGCAGAAACCTACCTCTTGTTACCAGCAGAAGGATTTATTTCAGCTTTCTGCCTACAAAATGACTTACATATTTCCCCATCTCCTCCTTTCCAAGGATGCTGTTAAGTTGCAAGAGGACGACAGGGTCTGCTTCTAAGATCTTGGAGCTATGTGCCCCTCCCCCTCATATTTGCTAGAGTGCTTCCAGCACACAGCACTCCTTCCACCCTCCCACCTGACTTGGAGTTGGGCAGAAAGGCTTATAAGGCTGTTATCTCTCAACAGACAGCTGTGCAGGGCCAGAGGCAGCAGCTTATCAGGGAGCCTGCAGTGATTCACAGCCCAAGTCCCAGCTTCTCTGCTGAATAGTAATTTCCAGCAGTGGATTTGTGCTGTCTCTCCTCCCCCTCTCCCAAGGGTGTGCTGTCCTTTCTCAGAGAGAGAGCAAGCAGTGAAGGGTAGATTCTATCCATGGGGCTGGGGGGCTCTGTGCCAGCCTTCTGGTAGGGCTGTTTATTGGCAGGAGGCTGGAGGCTTAGGGAGCCCAGTTTGGTCTGCCACCCTTGGCAGTGACCCCCAGGATAGTTCACTGATGCTCACCTTCCTCCCCCTTCCAGAAAAGCAGTATGCTGTTCCCTTTCCCTTAGTGGTAACACATAAGGTGACAAAGGTCCCCTTCTGGCCACAAGCCTTGAAGCTACTGGAGCTAGCCAGGGAGAGCTGAGAAAGAGGGAGGACCAGGCGCTGGGTATTGTGCTCCCGGCACCATTTTGAAGCTGCCCAGGTTCTGTGCCTGACCCATTAGACCTCTAAAGCTAAGGATTCCAGGCTGGAGGGGACTGAGACACAAGGGGGCAGACCACAGCAGTCTCTACACAGGCAAGTGGTTAGGGGAAAACCCAGGGACAGAGCCATTTCTGTGTTTGTTTTATTGGAAGCAAGACTCCAGCTGTGGGGCTCAGGGGAGGTGGCATAGAGAGTTCTGTCCTGAGCCTCTCCCTCTGGGCCAGCATGGGGAAAGTGGGATGTTAAAAGAGCCTATGGAGACGCCCCTGCCACCATGATCTCAGGATGCTCCTTAATAGCAGGGAAAGGAAAACTAGAAACTGTCCTGGGGTGAGGGGCAGAATAGCCCTTTACCCCGCTACTCAAAATCGCCCGCCCTCAAGCAGTGGTTTCCAACCCTTTGCCCTCTGCTGACAACGGTGGGGGTGCTTCCAAGAGCTTTCCTCAGCTTCCACCTTCCTAGCCCACTTCAAGAATCCTATGTGAGCCGTTTTTTTAACCTTTGGGGTTAAAGGCTCAAGAGTCCCATTGCCCACCATTCCTTCCCTGAAGAAGGTCCCGGTATGGTTCAGAAAAGCTGAAGGTGGAGTCATGTGTCGTCAGGCAACACAGGTGGAGGAGCAACCCCACCACGAAGCTTCCCTGGGGTCCCCCTCTTGTCGCCTTGGGGTCTGTGCCGCCACGCTGTAGGTTCCAGAGGACCAAGGCATGAAAGGCTAGAGATGCGTCTCAAGGTCGAAGCTCGGGGGTAAGATCCAGCCCGTCCAGGTGGCCCAGAGGGCGGAGTTCTCAGGCGGTCTGGTCCTCTTCAGCAGCACCAGGCTCGGGTTGTGACCGCTTCGCGGAGCCCTCCCCAGCAGCAGGTTCCCCTAGACTCCTCTTGGACGTCGGAGCAGTTGGCTGGGACGAGGGGCCGGGATGGGGGTTCGGCGGCTGGTAGCCGGGTTGGCGCGGATCCAGGGCATCCTTGGAAAGTAGAATGGCGAGGCTGGGCACGTTCTTAAGTACACTGAGACTGGCGGCTGGCTCGCCAGGCTTCTGCCCCGGCGTGGGTTCCGGAGGGAGGCTCTGCCACAGCTCGCGCACGCTCTGGTAGCGCAGCCGCGTGACCTGATGCAGACCCGCCAGGCGGCGCTTGAGGATCTCGGCACACGTGACGGTTTTGGTGGTGGCTCGACCGCAGCCGCTGAAGACGATGGCGCGCGTGGCTGGCTGCGCCATGCTGGCAGTGGCGAAAGCCAGCAGGTTCCGGATCTTGCTGCCCTCTTTGACCCGCATATGCACGGCGCCCGGCGCCAGGTCGGCGAAGGGGCCTGAGCCCGGGCCGCCCTCCTCATCCCCGCTCCCCACCGGCGCCTCCTCGGAGCGCACCTTTCGGAAGTTCTCCATGCGCCGTCGTTGCGGGGACGCGGGCTTCGCCATCGGGCCGCCTCAGCCCCGGGGCTGCATGTCGGTGGGTCGCGTCGGGCAAGGGCCGGCAGGAGTAAGGGCGCGTGAGCGGCGTGGACGCCGGCTGGCCGACTGGGACGGTGCGATCCTAGCCTTCCACTTCTCTCCACTGGGCGCTGCTCTACTCGGCGATCTCGGCGCCCTGTGCTCCGCGCCTTTAGCTGAGGCCCCGCCTCAGAGCCTGGGAGCCCCGCCCCTGCCGTCGGGCCCCGCCCCTTACCCAGCCCCGCCGGCCCGCGCCCCAGCCTCACAGCCTTTCGCAGGCATCCACCCTGGTCCTCGGATACCCGGGCTTGAGAGTTGCGCGGACCGCGGGGTACCAGGGCAGTGCCAGGGGTGACCTTCCAGCTGAAGTTTCCCTATAATCATCATCAGCCCTCCCTGAGCCAACCTTCATAAACCTGCAACCTAAATAAAAACCGTTTGCTGGGCAAACGCCTCTTCAAGCCGGGTCCCCGAGCCCTTCCGCGGTTCAGCTGAAGGCCACCCACCCCTTGCCCACTCCCAATGATAGATTTCAAAGCGGTCTTCTGGGGACTGGGACCTATTTCTCCCACTCCTAGAGGAACGACACCCCCACCCCCACCCCGTCCCTTCGCTCCCGAGTCGCTCTTCCCGCCTGAAGGACAGCCTGTGCGCTGTCAGCAGAGTGTGGTAGGCACTGGCTCCGTCTCTGCTCCGCGCCTGCCCTCGACGACTATGTCTCGGCGTGGTCCTCGCAGGGCAGCCGGAGAACTGAGGTTTCAGCCTCGCCGCGCCTGACCAGAGCTGAAGGCTCCCAGACACCCCCGCACACCCGGTGGGGTGTGCGAACTGCGGCTCTGGGCCAGGCTGTCCCCTGGGATGAATGGGACGAGAACAATGAGACCCCCTTCTCAAGAAGAGTTAAGCTCCCTTCATCCATGCCTGAAAGTCGAGTATTACAGCTGCATGCCTTAGAGTAAGCCAGACATCGTCCTCTGCTCACTTGGATCCCCCTTCTTCTCAGGTGGAATTTGTTGTTATTCAACCGGGGTCCCTGGGACCCAGTGGGGTCCTTTTTCAGAAAAGAGACTGGGTAAAGCAGGTTTTGAGGGAGAAGGGAGGTAGCTGGGAAACGGAAATCTCAGGGACATTATGGAGTTACTGGGTTCCCCTCCCCGGGAACTCCGCAAGACCAAGGGAATGGCCCGGGATGTCTTTCCAGGAGAGATGAACAGTGAAGGAAGAGATGAGATTGGGCTTTAAAGGATTGCTGATGAGAGAGACCGGGTTTGTGAAGGAGCTGTACTAGAACTGCCCTAGGGCCTCGTCCTTCATCCTTTCACCCCTCGCGCACACACAGAACTGAAGGTGGGCAAGACCTGATCCGGGTGGGGGTGACTACGACGGGGCGTGGCGGGGTGCAGCCCTGATAGCTGCGGCGGACGGGAAACCCTTGAAGTGCTGGGGTCATCCCAGTGCCCGGGCGAGCTGGTGCCCAGTCTTAAGACGGGGATGCTGGGGTCCCCCTCCTCTCCTCCAGGCTGCTTTCGCCTCCTCAGTATCTCGTATCTCCTAGCGCTCGGCTCTGCTGTTTGGAACCCGGGACTGACTCCAATACGGCCCTTTGGGAGTGACTGGAGAGCAGGTGGCTCTTTGAGCCCCATTACATGAATGACCATCCCCTTCTCGGATCTCCTGCTCGCACGCTGGGGAGAGAGGCTCTGGAGGGCACTTTCGGCTCGGAACCTGTGTTTCTGGCCCGTCGCAGCTCCCGCTGCC